GAGCAGGGATGAAGGAGAAGCACGATGGGGGGATATCGAGAAGAAGAGGAGGATAAGGACGAGGAGGGTGAGAGGGGGAAGGAGTAGAAGGGAGGAGCAGGCCCCACGTGGTGCTCCAAGGCGGGGTCCCCGCCTCCGCCCCCCTCCGGCCCACATGGTGGGCGCGGGGCGGCCGGCCGCCACGGCGGCGGACTGCTGGGCCGCGCACGCGGCGGAGCCGGCCGTGCGGAGCGGGGCACGCACGCCCGCGGGCCCCAAACGGCAGCCGGCGCGTGAGGCGTTCCAACGTTTCCGTTGTGGAGGTCTGTGGGGAAGGCCTGGGAGAAGTTCTCCTCGTCTTCGCCCTTGGGGCAGGTTCTCTTGGTCTCTGGGGGGACTCCCGGGCCTTCTGAGAGGGCCCGCCCTTCCTCACTTCCCCCCCTCGCTCGCCGCCGAAGCTGGGCAGGGCGTCGCACTGAGGGTGCCTTCGAGGATCGCAGGAGCCGTCACCTCTTCCGCCGCAGAAGGGCGGCGGAAGGTCGGCGGAAGCAAGGCGAGGCCGCCTCCGCCAGCGGGAAGCCGGCAGAAGGCCAGTGGAGGGCGGCGGAAGTAAACGATGGGCCCCCAAGAGACGAACGCGTTTTTGGGTTCAGGGTTTCCGAAATCGTATATATATATATATATATATATATATACAAAACATCAGGGCACCGGTTTTTCCTTGTCCTCGTTCGTGCACAGCAGAGAGCCACAACCACAGCTGAGCTGATGTTTCTGGAGGGCCCCTCGGGGGGGAGGACCCACTGGCCTCCTCAAGAACAGTTGGATTGTGGGTGTCATCGATGTGGCCGTCTAAGACGCCCACATCGACTACGACCCGTGCTGAGCTGGTTTCGGTGCTCTGACGATTGTCTGCACGCGCAGAAGCCAGCCCTCAGGGGTGCGTCCTCGACGTGGTCGTGGTCGCTTGCCGTCCCCGCGCTGCGGCCCTCTGGGGGCCCGCGCCGGGCCCTGGGGCCGTCCACAAGAGACCCACGGCGGAAAAGTCGAGCAGCGGCGAGGCGTCCTGGCGTGTCTACAGGGCTACCGGACAATGTTTGAAGAACCTTTTGTTGAGGCTTCCACGGGATGTTCTTAGAACATTTCTGGCTGTGGCTGTCTTGTTTTATCGCATCGGGTCTATGCTCTAAGAGCCTTGCTTTTGTTAGAACATTTCCGGGCTCTGAGAACATGTCGTGGTAGGCCTATAGGAATACTGGGACGGTCGGCCCCTGCTCGAAAGAGGCGGCCCTGGGGAGGGGGCTGGGGCTGCAGGGGGGCCACGCGTGGAGCAAGAGAAGCTGCGGTGTCGGAGGTGGGGGCCCTCCTTCCCCAGGTCTCCGGCGATGGGATCGGCCTGTCCGCCGCAGGCACGTACACAGTTTTTTGTCGGCGGGGCGAGAGCGAACCTCTTCCGCTAAAAGCTAGGCGGGCTACGCACAGCTCTAATTGGGGAGACAGGGCAAAGGCGGGCGGGGCCTCAGGCGGCCAAGAGGGCGGGGCCCGGGGTGCAGGCGGTGCCGAGGAGCTTGCACAGGAAAAGGTACGCCGTGGACAGGAGCCGGAGGCGAAGATCCGGATGGTGAGCGATGTGGTGTTGCCGTCAGCAAGCACGTACACAGACACCCTCTATATATCATGGATTGTCCCACGGCCTCGGGGGAGGGAGGGGGGATGTAAGTTGCCACTGAGAGCCCGCGACTCTATACACCGCCACTCTCCCTGAAGGTACATGCAAAGTTCGTCAGAGGGTGTCTGTGTGTATATATATATATATGTATATATATATGTATGAATATACAAGGTACGAGTGATATATATATATATATATATATATATATATATATACAAGACTGCAGTGGCGCTTCGCGCCATGCACCTTGTTCCTTGACGTTTGGTATGCAGGCGGAATAGCAGGAAGGCAGGATGGTCAAGCAGACAATTTAGCGATGAGCCCTTGCTGCCTTTTCCAGCAACGCAGCTATAATAATGTTTTTCGTTATCCTGCCTCCATGCTTCTTTTTCCTCATCTTCGCCATGCCCTGCGCATTCTCCCAATCCTCCTCAGCTCTTTTTGCGGAGGCTCCTCCTTGGAGAGCCTCTGGGGGCCTCACAGACGTTTTTCAGGCTTTCTTGAGGCCTTCAGAAGGCCTCCTGGGCGTGTTCTGGGGGCCTCTGGGGGCTTCATCGGGCCACCCTGCCTCCAACCGCGGTCTCCCTGAACGACCGGGTCACGATTTGGAATGCTTCGGAGGGTGTGTTGGGGCCATTTTGGGCCGCCAAGGGGCTTTCTGAGGGCCATCTTGGACCCCTGTTGTGCCGTTTGGGGGCTCTCTCGGACTGCCTGGAAGCCCGTTCGGAAGGTTGTGGGGCGATTTTGGAGCCTCCCAGGCGGCTTCGGACGCCCAGAAGACCGCCGACTTGGAGCGTCGGGAAGCCGAAAAGAGGAGAACTCCAAAATTCACCAAAAACCTACAAGAATGAATGAATTTTGCCTCTTGGGGCCTTCTTGGGAGTGCTCTTGGAGGCCTCTCGGGACGTTTCGGGACGATCTTTGGGGGTATGACGGCTTCTTGGGGGTCGTCGTGGACTGTATTGGGGCTCTCTGGGGTCGTTTAGGGAGCGCGCCACACCCTGCGAGGCCCGGGGGGGCGCTTCGAGGCCCGTCCGGAGGGTCCCAAAGCCCCAGAGCCCGGGAGTCCGGTTGTGTGTGTGTAGGGTTTTTCCCCCGCCCAGGCTTGTAAAAATATAGGAAGAGGATATACACATATATGTACATATATTGGATGAATATATTTTATATTATACATACACGTATATATACACACATTCGTGGCGTAGTTTGAACCTGGGCGGCTCGCCTCGATGTCGGCCTCTACACGGCCCTTTTTTCTGGCCCCCCCTGGCCATCAAAGGTGGAACCGGGGCGAGACACATGTGCCCCGGTGGAAGTGGTCGGGCTCGGGGCCCCCGGCACACGGCAGGCCTCGCACACGGCAGGCTTCTCGGCCACCAACTCCTCCACCCCTCCCCCCGCGGATAGGCCAGGCTATCGCGCCGAGACGCATGCGAGGCGGTCTCCAGACGGGGGTGGTGAGACTCTGCCTGCGTGCCTGCCCCGCTCCAGCCCCTGAGATCCGGCCTGGCACAATCATTGCACAAACATCGCAGCACATCACGCCGGGAGCCCCAGACGACCCCCTCTTCCTGCGCCGCTCTCCGAGCCGCCTCGATCCGCGAGGGCCCCGGGGCCCGACATGACGGAGCGAAGACGCCCGCTCTGCGAAGGAGTTGCCTCGCCAGGCTCTCAGGGGAGTCCGCCGACGCAGCGCCCCTGCCGCCTCGCCGGCAGCCGCCGCGGCGGGGCGCGGCGCCGGCGCCGGCGCCGCGGCCGCGTTCCTGGCGCCCGCGCCGCGCGGCTCGCCCCGCGGCGCCGCCAGCTGGGCGGCTGTGCCCGCGGCGGGCGGCTCGGGGCCCCGTGGCGGGCGCGCGCACGCGGCGATGGGGCGCGAATTACTCGGGGGGGCAAGAGTCATGAGTAAGCCGGGCATGGCCCTCCTGCAGGAGGAAAGTTCAAGAAGCGTCAGAACAAATAGTCTGGGGAGGAGTCTGGGACTACTTTCCATTCTTTTTGCGCATTTGTTTGGCTATTTGTTTTTTTGGCGTCCAGGATCCGCCTGTACGAGGACACGCCCGACCTAAGATTGAATAGTCGGGATCCCGCAAAGGGTGTGTGTGTGTGTGTGTGTGCCCTGTAGTGCGTGTGTGAGAGAGAGAGAGAGAGAGAGTGAGAGAGTTCGATCGGTTTTTGCACCGGGCCGCCCGACACGATGCCCCCCAGCCGCGGGCAGCTCCCGATCGTTGCCGATAGGTGGGGTATGCGGGGGGCATCTGCTTCTGGCAGTTCGGTGCACCAGCGGATTGAACCCATGCACCCCCTTCAGGGTCACTCCCCATTTGGTTGATCCCGAAATCCATGGGGGGGCAGCGAGGGCTGCAGAAAAGGGGCCTCTAGGGCTCCGAAAAGGCTCCTTTAGGGCCCTCTATAGGGCCCGAAAAGGGCACCCTTCTCCCTCCCGTTTTTAGCGCCTCCCCAGTACGGTAGGTCCACGTCGTGTCGACCTGCAGCGACCCCGCCGCCAGCGTTCAGTGTTGAACGCCCCCAGCGACCCGGAATCGATCGATGTTTGACGATCGGACGTTGCGGGCACGACCGATCGTTCGAGATTGAACGATCCCCGCGGTGTCAGAAACCAACGCCGGGGTCTACACGACACGAACTTGTCGTCATTCGCGCCTGAGGTGGGCGCCGGCGCCGCCGCCGCGCCGGCGGCCGTCCCCCCTCGTGGCGCGAGCTGTGGCGGCGCCCGCTCCGCCTCGTTCCTGGCGCCGGCGCCAGGCGTGGCCAGCGGCGCGGCGCTGCGGGCTGCGCGGCGGCCGTGGCGCTCGACGGCCTTTGGCCTAGGGCCCGCGGGCACGTGTGACGGGGAGGGCGGGCTCGGTGGCAAATCTCACCGAGCGCGCTCCCCTACGCGCAAACTGCCTAGTCGCAAATTTGCGAAACATAATTTGTTCGCCCCGATGTAATATATATATATATATATATATATATATATATATATACATACACATGTGTGTATATATATATATATACATACACACATTTTTATATATATATATATATATACATATATATATATATATATATATATATATCGTAAAATCCCCGCGGCGGATCGAGGCCGTTTGCGAGTAGTTACTTTGCGAGTTGTGGAACGCGCTTGTCTAAAATCATGGGAGCCTGGTACACCCTCTTAATTCGGTCTTTCGCGTCGATTAGCCGATTAGCGTCGATTAGCATCTGGGAGTCGATGAGCTAGCGCCAATTTAGCATTGGTTGGCGTCGACTGGCGTCGATCTAGCGTCGATGAGCGTCGATTTAGCGCCGATTAGCGTCGATTCGCAAGAGCCGACAAGACGGTATGGGAGGCTCCCAAGGGTTGCCTTGCAAGGCGGGGGCGGCCCGGCCGCCGCGGTGCCCTTCAGCGTCGAGTGGAGCGGGGACTGGCGCACCATGCGGGACATCTCGAAGAAGAGAGGACGCCATGAACACAAACTTTTGGCGCTCCGCGCGGATCTCTTGGATCGGCGCTGGGCCCTCCAGCGGCGCCTCCGGCGCCGCCATTGGCGCGCTCCGCGCGCCAGGGAGGGGGGTGCAGCGCAGATCCAAGAAGTCCGCGCAGAGCGCCAGCAGTCTATGTCCGTGGCGTTTTCTCTTCTTCGAGCATTCCCCAGGCCTCTGACGTCGTGGCTCCTCCTCGGCGTGGCCCCAGTGGGCCCCCTCGGCCCTCCTCCTCGGCGGCGTGCGCCACGCGATTGGGGCGGGGCGGGGGCGGGGGCGGCCCTGCTTCGAGGCGTGGTGCTCTCTGGTGGCCCCCCGCCCCTGCCAGAGGCCATCTGCGCCGCCCCCGATCCCATCCGAGATGGCTCCCGTGCCTCCTCTCGCGGCCGCCCCCCCTCGCCCTAGCCTTTAATTCATGATGCTCCAACCTGCTTCAGCCTTGATCACCAGAGTGAGTTTCGAGCACCAAGAAGAAACACCCCCAAACCTGAGGGTTTTCGCGTTTCACGTGTCGGGCCCTGGGAGGCACTCTTTCGGCACTGTGTCGACACTCTTTCGACACTCTTTCGACACTTTTCTGGGTGCTCGAAATTATTTCTGGGATGTGGTCCGTAAGTACGATGGGAGCAGCATAACCATTAATTAAGTCAGGCGCGCCCCTCTGCAGGAGGCTCAAATGCAAAGACAGTCAACATATAGCCTGAGGACGATTTGTGTGAGCATGTTCTTTGGGCCATGCTCCAACATCGGAGGCCGCTCTGCCCGAAGGGCGAGAGCGAACCGGTGGAACGCCAATGCTTACCAGCCTGGAACATATCCCTATCCCTATGCTGGGCACCTCCCCATCACGATGCCAATCTTGGGGACTCCCTTATTTTTTGAGGGCGAACCCCTAAGATTGCCATCGCCTTTTGCCGTGCCAATCTTGGGGATAGGGACACGTTCGAGGCCGGTAAAATGAGGGCAAGCCAGATCCAGGAGCCTCGCCGACGACCCCTCGGAGCAGCGCGCGCGCTGCGCCGGGCAGGCGCGCCGGGTCCCCGGCGCCTCCGTGGCCAGAAGGGCTACCCGCCGGCCTCCAGTCTATCGCCAGGCAGTCAACAATTGGTCCAGGGACGATCTTTTGAGTACTCCAGATTTCGTAATAAAAGGGAGGGGGTCTGGACCCTCCAAGACAAGCCATTTCAGACCCCCCCCTCGTGGGAGAACCCTCCAAAACATCGTCCCCAGACCACCCCAGGCCCTCCAAGATAGCCTGGAAGAGACCCCCCCCCCGAAATGAGATCCCCCTCCCTTTATTACGAAATCTGGAGTATTTTCTTCGGCCTTTTTCCCAGTAGTTGTGGAGCGTGCTCCACTCTTCTTCCAGCACCCGCCTGCAGGGGACACCCCGACCTGACCTGAAGTCGGGCACGTCCCTCTACGGGAGGAATCTTCAGAAACAGTAGAGAAATGGTCCGGGGACGATTATTCCAAGATTTTTTGATCGTTTTGAATATTTGGTTGGACTATTTTTGTATTTCTTCGTCCAGATCCGCCTGTGGGGGGACACGCCCGACCTTGCTTGCCCCGCCCTCTCCGTGCGCGCCGCCGGCCGTGTCCACGCGGACTCTCCGCCGCCGGCCGCTGGCCCTCTCGAGATGCGTCGGGGCCCGAGCGCCCTCGGGGGGGCCCGCTCTTGCGAGAGAACCTTCGGGGGCCTTGGGACGGGGGAGGAGGAGGAGGAGGAGGAGGAGGAGGAGGAGGAGGACGAGGAGGAGGACGAGGAGGAGGAGGAGGAGGAGGAGAGGAGGAGGAGGATGGGGAGGAGGAGGAGGAGGAGGAGGAGGAGGAGGAGGAGGAGAGGAGGAGGAGGAGGAGGAGGACGAGGAGGAGGAGGAGGAGGATGACATCCCAAACCCGTCGGAGGAGGAGGAGGAGGAGGAGGAGGATGAGGGGGATGCCATCCCAAACCCGTCCTACCTGTGGTGGGTAGTGGTGGTGGAGAATTGGCCCATCAAACCGGCCAGGTTCGGTGGTCCAGAGGCAGGGGTCAATGCGAACGGGGGTCTGCGAAAGCGCCCGATCTTGCAGCATGCTGCAGTGCCAGGGTCGCCATCGACCCGGCCCGGGTTTGGGCGCAGGGTTCTGCAGGATCCTGCAGGACCCCTCGCACGGACCCGGGTTTGGGCGCAGGGTCTCGCAGGATCTTGCAGGATTCTGCAAGGCCTGACTGACCGGGGTCTGGATTGACCCGGGTCAGAAGATCCCTGCAGAGCGCCGCCCGTCATGCCCTGCGGCGACGCTCGGAGGTCTGCCAAACCAGGACCTCTGCCATCCTGAGGCACTGCGACGGAGGAGTCATGTGAAGTCGGGCCTGTCCCCCAACAGGAGGAATACCCACAAACAGTCAACAAACCACGTTAGGGGACGATGTTTGGAAATGTTTGGGGGCATTTTTGGACAATGTTTTTTATGGTTTTTGCAAAATCCGCTTGTAGGGGGACACGCCCGACCGAATGTCCTGAGAGAACACTGGCCGTCATGCTTTTCGGCGACGCTCCGAGGTCTGACAAGCCCGGACCTCCGCCATCTTGAAGTACCCATCGGGCGTTGAAAGTAGGTCTTTTGGGATTCCAGATTCCCACCTACTTTAAGCGCCTTCCTACTTCAATGATCGAGTGGCTTCACCTTTTCCGTCCTCCTTTGGGGTGCGGACGGAACCCAATCTACTTTTTTCGCCTTCCCACTTCATGTTTCCCTTCTGCACCCGGGGAGTTGGCTCCCGCGCGCTGCGCCCCGCCGCCGGCGGCCCCGGTGCAGCAGCCGCCGCGGGCCCGCCGGCGGGGCTGGCCGCGCCACGCGCTCGGGGCCTGACCCGTCCCCCAGAGCGGCTGGCTCGCCCCGTCCCCTGTTTCGGCCGTCTCCTTTGCCTCTCCCCCCTCCTGCATGGTGACACAATTCGCTTCAACGGTATCCCCGTTCTAGCTCTTTCCGCCAGCGCAGACGACCCCTGTCTCGCCGACCGACGCAAAACAGTTTCTACCTACTTCTTCCGACCGATGGGTGCTGCGACGGAGGAGTCATGGCGCCCGGCCCCTGTCAGCCAAAAACAGAAGTTGTAACCCAGCACGCAGTGTGGCCGATCTTTTGACCGAACCTGATCATCGTCATGGCTTCGAAGCACAGGGAGTTCAGTCTCGCGGACCTACTTTTAAATCATTTTTTCAACCTCATTTTGTTTCATGCCCCGCCGTTATCGCGCGGGTGATCGTTGAATACCTAGTTTCAAAGATGGTCACGACTATCTTCCCCCATTTCCTCTTCTTCCTCCTCTCCCTTCTCCTCCTTCTCCCCCTTCTCCTCCCCCTGGCGGAGGTTGCAAAGCGATAAATTTGGAGAACTGTTTAGGGGAAGATCTGCGGGACAATCTGAGGGAGGAAGATCTGGGGAAGGATCTGGCGGAAGATCTGGCAGAAGATCTGGCGGAAGATTTGGCGAAAGATCTGACGGATGATCTGGCGGATGATCAGGCGGAAAATTTGGAATATACATTTGGCGGAAGATTTGGAGGAAGAAATGGCGGAAGATTCGAGGAAGATTTGCCGGAAGATTTGGCGGAAGATTTGGCGGAACATTTCGCAGAAGATTTGCGGGAAGATCTCGCGGGAGATTTGAAGGATCAATTTGGCGGAATATACATATAGCGGAAGATTCGGCGGAAGATTTGGCGGAAGATTTGACGGAACATTTGGAGAAAGATTTGGCGGAAGATTTGGCGGAAGATTTGGCGGAAGATCTCGCGGGAGATTTGGAGGATCAATTTGCCTGAAGATTTGGCGGAAGATTTGAAGGAAGATTTGGGGGAGATGTGGCGGAAAAGTTGGCGGAATATTTGAAGGATGAATTTGGCGGAAGATAGCGGAAGATTTGGCGGAAGATTTTGCATATGAATTTGGTGGAAGATGTCGCAGAAGATCTAGCGGAAGATTTGGTGGAAGATTTGGCGGAAGATTTGGAGGAGAAGATTTGGCGGAAGATCAGGAGGAGGAGGAGGTGCAGCAGGACGAGGAGGAGGACGGAGTGGAGAAGGAGGAGGGGGAGGACGAGGTGGTGGAAGAGCAGGAACCCCCCAGCTCTTCCACTTGATTTTCCGCCAGATCTTTCGCCAGATCTTACGCCAGATCTTGAGTCAGATCTTCCGCCAGATCTTCCGCCAGATCTTAATCCAGATCTTCCGCCAGATCTTCAGCCAGGTTTGCATTCCAGATCTTCCGCCAGATCTTCCGCTATATTCACCGCGAGATCTATCCTCCAGATCTTCGGCCTGACCTTCCTCCAGATCTTCCGCCAGATCTTTCTCAAGATCTTCCGCCAGATCTTGTGGCCGATCTTCTGCTAGATTTTCCGCGGGATCTTTCGCCAGATCTCCCACCATATCTTCCTCCAGATATTCCGCCAAATCTTCCGCCAGATCTTCCGCCAGATTTTCCGCCAGATCTTCCGCTAGATCTTCCGCTAGATGTTCCGCCAGATCTTCCGCCAGATCATCCGCTAGATCTTCCTCGAGATCTTCCGGCAGATCTTCCGCCAGATTTTCTTCCAGAGTTATATTCCACATTTTTTGCCAGATCTTCCGCCAGATCTTCCGCCAGTTTCATCCTCCAGATCTTCCGCCAGATCTTCCGCAAGATCTTCCGCCAGACCTTCCGCCAGATCTTCTGCCAGATCTTTTGGCAGATCTTCCGCTAGATGTTCCGCCAGATCTTCCGCCAGATTTTTTTCCAGATCCTCCGTGAGATCTTCCGCCAGATCTTCCGCTATATCTTCCTCCAGATTGATCTCTTCAATCTTCTGCGAGATCTTCCGCCAGATCTTCCGCCGGATCTTCCGCCAGATTTTCCGCCAGATCTTCAAGATCTTCCGCCAGATCTTCCGACAGATTTTCAGCCAGATTGATCCTCCATATTTTCCG